GTTTTGTTTTCGATGCAAACTCGCGGAGATGAACAGGCCTGGTAATAGCATATAAAACGGTTTATTCCACTTTGTTCACCTGGGTGAAGAAAGTTGAATTTTTAGTGTCCTCATTTCACTTTGGAACCGTTTCACCCAGGTGATATCACCCAGGTGACATCACCCGGTGAAATCACCCGGTGAATTGATTCGACTAAAACGGTCGCCTTTGTTCACCTAGGAATTAATTCACCCAGGTCATCGCATCTGTTCACCTGGAAAATAAAGTTGGGTGTAAGTAATGGTGCGGAGGTGAAATGAGGACACTAAAAATTTCACTTTCTTCACCCAGGTGAACAAAGCGGAATAATCCCATAAAACTGCTTCAAAATTACTTTTCTCACTTTCTAATTTTGAGCTACAAATCGAACACATAATGTTTGGCATCCCACGACGAAGTTCTTCATACTCTGCTAGCGTTATACTACTTAAGAAAACACTTGAAATGTAAATATTGTACATAATAATATGAAGAAACTTAGTATTTACCTACAGCTTTATTATTGTAGATAATATAAAATAAGATTTTTTATTATTAATGAAATATTTGTAACAAAATAGTGCGTAATGTGTATTTTGAAGATGCGCTATTTTAATAAATAATAATATATTTGACTGAAACGCTTGTTTGAACTTTTTTCACCTTTTTCATAGACATTTTCCAACTTTTCTGTAAATAAACATCTGAAAAATTTTCGTTCCGTAAATGACACCATTCACAAAGCACAAATATCTCAAAAACCCTGAAATAATGTTTTTCAGCCAACTGCTAGTTGCTTTGAATTTGAATTCTTTTCAAAATAAAACAAGAACTTATTCATTTCCGAATAGTGTCAAGAGACATTACAGATTCAAGTGAGTTTCTTTTTAATTAAACAAATAATACCTTTGAATGAAAGTTACTATGCCGATAGCCATTCATTCATTCAGTCATTCATTTATAAAAAAGGTACTTAAATACGGTGACAGGTGTCCCAATATTAGCACGTCACACTGACACTGGAGGTAGCCGAGTCTAAGACGCATCGAACAAGCTTTATATGTCCATAGAAAAGTTTAATAAGTTTTAAGATTTGACCAATTTTATTTATTCATTTCCGTAGTAAAGTTTGATGAGTTTTTAAATATGACTAACTTTTGCCCATGGCTTCACCCGTGTGAAATTTAGTTTGTCACAGATCGTCATAAACTATAGCCTATTATGTTATCCTCGGCCATAAACAACAATACTGTAAAGTTTCATCAAAATACGTTCAGTAGTTTTTGCGTGAAAGAGTAACAAACATCCAGACATCCATACAAACTTTCGCATTTATAATATTAATAGGAGATTAGTTATTTTTCAAAATGGACTTAATTATACTTGTTAGATGCGTCTTAAGCTCATTTACCTCTGGTGTCAGTGTGATGTGCTAATTTTGATACACCCTGTATCATAGAAACAATAGTCATCTCAAAAATAGCGATTTACATTAATTTGCTAACATTCAAACTTGATACATTTTAATCGAATTTATAATATGTACGTAGTTATTTAGTATTATTCTTTAACTTAAGGCACGAGCCAAAATATCAAAGTATAGACAATAATTAATTCTTAGCTGACTTGTAAAGATAGATTTTAAAAATTTTAGATTGTATAGGAACTTTTTTTTTTATTTTACCTTTAATAAAGTCTGACGTAGAATGTGCATCTCGTAAATTGAGCACATGGCAAAATGCACTTTTCTATACAAGTTTAAGAGAGTCTGAAGAGTTTGTATAATGGAAAATGCGCATTTTGCGAAGTGCACAATGCACATTCTCCATCATACCCCTGACAAATTTATACTAAGACTTGATATAAGTTAAATCTTTATTTAGTTTGCTAGTTTTATATTAAACTTTTTAAGTGAATAACATTACTTACCGAATGAAATGTGCCCCCATACTTAGTATACAGTTTACCTCTATTTATCAGTCAAACTTTTCTTACGCTAAACTAAACTCTAAGGCTGGGTTGCAACTATCTTATTTTAACTACCTATAACAAATACCAAAATCGACCAACCGGTTTTTTAAGCTGTAGATCCTGGCTACACAGGAGTTGCAGTGGTGGCAACGAGAGGTGGGAATAGTCCCGTTAAACCGGTTTTATAATTACTGTTAAAGTAAGATGGTGCAACTCAACCTAAATATTTTAAATTTTTCAGTAATTAAATTGTATTCTTTTCTTATTTAAATATATCTTATTCTAACTCTACAGACGACAGCACATTAAAAGTAAAAAACTGCATCCTATATACAGAATGTCCCAAAATTAGCACGTTACACTGACACCAGTCTATCTAGATAAGTGGCCCTTTTTGATCGAAGCGAAAATCGAATCCGTTGTAACTCCATTTAAAGAAAGGCCTTTCGACCATCTCACGACATTAAAGCTGTCACATTTTGCCACTTGTTAAGTGGGGCAGATGAAGATGAGCCTAAAACACATCGAACAAGCCTCTTATTCCATATTTTTATTAAAACAACTAATGTCAGTCATATTTCAAGTCATCAAACTTTTCTATGGACATTAATAACTAAAATTGGTCATAATTAGGTATCTCAAAACTTAAGAAACTTTTGGACATTAATAGGCTTGTTCGATGGGTCTTAGGCCCAACTACCTCCAGTGTCAGTTGACGTACTAATTTTGGGACACCCTGTATAAGTGCGATTGTATGTGGGAAATTACCTTGTAGGTATCTAATATTGTGAATGTAAAGTGCCATGATACGGAGTCTACTAGTCTTAATGTACAGTATGTAATAAATAGTGATAGAATATAGTTACATAATGTATCCTATATTTATTTTTGATTTAATAAACTCGCTATTTTATGCATTTCTTGTTTCATTTCAAATGTGATAAACTTTGAAATACTTTGGTGCATGTAGTCGTTGATAGGTTCAATTGAAAACAAAGTAAAAATATTTTGTTTCGTAGTGTATTGTGTCGATGGCCCTAAATTCAATTCCCAGCAGACACAAAGTAAGATAGTTTTGTTACTTGTACAGTTTAAAATTAATAAAAACGAAGTACAGAAGTACCTATGAAATTATGAATCGATCATTTTCAAATGAAACGGTAACGAATTGAGAACCTCCCCCTTTTGTTAAAGTCGGTTAAAGCGTAGTTTCAAACATAATTCTAGCGACTAGTAACCCCATCTAGTGGTTGGAACAAATCGCCGTTGCGGCTGGAGACTCGCCAGATGTAATTTAACGCCATCTGTCGCTGAGAGGACTAAACTTTAGTACTACCACAATCAAGGCACTCATCTCTTGATAATATTAAAGCAAGTAAGGATTAAAACTAATGTTTGCCATAACTAATTCTAGATAAGAATGCATAATTATGAGTTTATTTTAAGTTTATTATTTAATTAAAAGAAAAAACGTTTCTAATATTGTGTGGTTGGCATACATTTATTATGGAAGCTGGAAACATTGAATTTTCGGATAGTTCCAGTTTATTTTGTAACCTATTATTGGTACTGTTCGAAAGAGCTCGTGAAGCAAATTTAGAATCAGTAACCAGTTTTTCGATATCTTGTGTAGTTTAGAAATAATCAAGTGAGATCACTTATTGTTTCCACCCTGTAGATGATTCTTCAAAACATGCCCAAAATTTACTACATACTATGTAGCCTACATTGTAGGTATATATAACATGAAACAGATTTCTTTAACTTTATTGTTTTCTTTTCTCACAACCTTAGAAGAAATAAGAAATAATTTTAATGTTTTTATGTCGAATAGTAATGTCGAGTTATTCGACTATTCGCCAAAGTGAATGGCGATTAATCGGTATTCGACTATTCGCTATAACCACTATTCGCGGCAATTCTAGTCATAACATTTTCACTATTCCTCTGCACCAATGCATGAAATACACCTGAAAACCCCGATAAAGCAGCTATTAGGTAAGAATAATATAAAAATAAACATAACCCTCCTTCTGACGCAGTTAGGTAATAAACTAAATGTAGGTAAGTATCAAAACATTTCACTCCAACTTACTGTCAACTCAACGACGCGCTTTAAAATCAAAGATTGACTTCGAATGCCTTATTTTGCAATACACTTTGAAAACAATATGACCTGCTTGACTTTTTTCGTCTTTTTCACAAAAATAACAAATAGGCATGAAGAGATTACAAAATTTCTGCAGCGGCTGACAGATCTCTTGATTTACTTTGACAGGTGACAATAAAGCCATAGACAATGGCCATATGAAAAACACACTTTTCCAATATTTTTGTTTGCCATGAGATTCTGGTACACCTATACGCATTAACGGATTAATGGAACTTTGCAGTATCTTTTTTTATGCATAACAAGGCCAGGTATTTGACCACAATCGCACCTGATGTTAAGTGGGATGCAGTCTAGGATATAAATATTATTAGGAGTCGAAGTGGTCGCCATGGCCGAAATCAGTCTGATGAATCACCTTAGAATCTCTGCTTAGAATAAGTGCGGTTATACAACAAAATTGTTATACTCTCATGTATGACAGTTCAAAACCCGCAAGTTTCCTGTTACTCCGTGACCATAGCGCTTGCAAGTGCCGAAATATCGGAAAGTCAAAATTTAGGTGCATGGTAGCAATCCCGTCAATAATAATTATTATGACAGTTCAGTTCGAAGGGTAGGGTACAAATGACGAAGGATAGGGTACAATTACCGAAGTGTAGGGTACAAGCGACTGTTCAACTTAAGGGGTAGGGTACAAACGTCTGTTCAACTTAAGGAGTAGGGTACAATTAACGAAGGGTAGGGTACAAACGTCTGTTGAACTTAAGGGGTAGGGTACAATTAACGAAAAATAGGGTACAAGTAACCAAGCGTAGGGTACAAACGACTGTTCAACTTAAGGGGTAGGGTACAAGCGACTGTTCAACCTAGGGGATGGGGTACAAGTAAGAGTCAGTGAACTGTTAACACGTTTATTGGCTCTAGTCGAGCTCGAACTCGATGATGTCGGGCAGGTCGAGGTTCTCGCCGTCGCTGTCGCTGCTACGGCTGTCCGCCGCCGCCGCCGCCGCCGCCTGGGGAAGAATTTGAAGCTTAACATGTTGACATAAATATGGAAATCAGAACTAGTTATTGGTAATTTATGGTTTATGGTTTAAGACATTTATTTCTCTAAAAGAATGACATGAGGGGTGGCAGTGGGCATGGCACATAGCTCGAAGAGCTGATGGCCGCTGGGGCAGGAAAGTCCTTGAGTGGCGACCACGAGCCGGAAGACGTAGCGTGGGCAGGCCTCCCACTAGGTGGACCGACGATCTGGTGAAGGTCGCGGGAAGTACTACGTACAGAAGATATTTTCGTGAAGGTATTTAAAAAAATGTATGCTCAATGTCGTTAACAATATGGTGTAATTTAGCTTGTCTCAAGAGTCGAGCACCATTTTGTTGACAAACGTCAGTGATTGGTACTGCGCCGAAGCCATAGGGCTTCGGTAAAATGATGTGTGAAGTGAGGTGCCAAACTGCGGAAAATAGCGGAGAACATACGTTTATTCTTTATTCTTTCCAAAATACTGCACAGTATTATTGTCTGCGTCAATACTCGCTCCTGATTGTCCCGTCGATTAGGTATCTCAGGAGGTGAAGTCGCGCATGTTTTGAGTTTTGTTTTCGATGCCAACTCGCGGAGATGAACAGGCCTGCCTTTACCAACAAACGTCTCGTGACTTTTTCTCCAACAGTGACCTCTATTGCAATACACATAAGATACTCACGAGTCCGCGCAGCTAGCTGTCACCGCTCAAATGCAAATGATACTGCTGTCCACGCGACTTTGAACTCTATTGCTATGTACATAAGGTACTCACACGGCGACGCGGGCGCGGCTCGCCTTCGTTCGTTCGTCTCTAAAGGCGAGTGTCACCCGTCAGTGCCACACGACTATGAGCTCTATGTCTATGTATTAAATTACAATACGCGCGCGTGCATCACTCTTTACTAAAGCCTGGTCCGTGAGCACGTAGAATTTTGTCCAATGACCCCAAGCTACCCATCCTTAGCGCTCGCGCGTAATTATATTGCTGTCGCGACTGTGCGACGGGCGCCCACAGGGAGTGTACGAGCGAGACAGCAACATAATGATGCGCGAGCGATAAGGATGGGTAGCTTGGGGTCATTGGACAAAATTCTACGTGCTCACGGACCAGGCTTTAGCTCGTGAAAACCCGCCGGCGGGTGCGCCGCGCGTGTTTTGTTTTCGATGCCTACTCGGAGAGAGAACAGTCCTGGATCTATTACTATGTATCCACGCGACTGTGAGCCCTATCGCTATACACATAAGGCACTCACGCGGCGGCTCGGGCTCGCCTTCGTTCGTTCGTCTTTAAGAGCGAGTGTCACGCATCAATGCCACGCGACTTTGAACTCTATTACTATACACATAAGATACTCACGCGTCTGCGCAGCCAACATCAGAGCTGTCACCGCTCTAATGAGACCGGTGTCCACGCGACTGTAACCTCTATTGCTATGTACCTAAGTCCACGCGACTATGAACTCTATTACTATGCACATAAGATACTCACGCGTCTGCGCAGACAACTGCAGAGCTGTCACTCGCGCTCTAATGAGACCGCTGTCCACGCGACTGTCAGCTCTATTACTATGCACCTAAGATTCGGTACTCGGCACAGCAGCTAAGATTTCACGCGCTAAAATGTGAACGCTGTCCACACGACTTTGACCTCTAAATCTATGTGCATAAGGTAGCTGCCTTAACCCGCCAGCGGGTGCGCCGCGCGTGTTTTGTTTTCGATGCCTACTCGGAGAGAGAACAGTCCTGGCTTAATTACTATGTATCCACGCGACTGTGAGCCCTATCGCTATACACATAAGGTACTCACACGTTTGCGTCTCGGCTGGGGCTCGCCACGCGACTATGAGCCCTATCTCTATGCACATAAGGTACTCACACGTCTGCGAAGCCAGCTTCAGAGCTGTCACCGCTCAAATGCAAATGATACTGCTGTCCACGCGACTTTGAACTCTATTGCTATACACATAAGATACTCACTCGTCTGCGGGGGCGGCGTCTCCTCGGGCGCGCCTCGGGCTCGTCGTCGGAGCTGCCCGAGCTGCCGTGACCGCGTCTCTATTGCTACCTACATAAGGGCGAGTGTCGCGCGTCAGTGCCACGCGAATATGAGCCCTATGTATATGTACATAAGGTACTCACGCGTCTACGAAGCCAGCTACAGAGCTGTCACTGCTCAAATGAGACCGGCTCGGGCTCGCTACGCGACTATGAGCTCTAAGTCTATGCACATAAGGGCGCTACTCATGCATCCGCGCGGGCGGCTTGAAAACTGTCGCTGCTCAAAGAGACCGCTGTCCACGCTAATGTAACCTCTATTACTATGCACATAAAGTACTCACGCGGCGGCTCGGGCTCGCCTTCGTTCGTTCGTCTGTATTGCTGTGTACATAAAGGCGAGTGTCACGCATCAATGCCACGCGACTTTGAACTCTATTACTATACACATAAGATACTCACGCGTCTGCGCAGACAACTGCAGAGATGTCACTCGCGCTCTAATGAGACCGCTGTCCACGCGACTGTCAGCTCTATTACTATGCACCTAAGATTCGGTACTCGGCACAGCAGCTAAGATTTCACGCGCTAAAATGTGAACGCTGTCCACACGACTTTGACCTCTAAATCTATGTGCATAAGGTAGCTGCCTTAACCCGCCGGCGGGTGCGCCGCGCGTGTTTTGTTTTCGATGCCTACTCGGAGAGAGAACAGTCCTGGCTTAATTACTATGTATCCACGCGACTGTGAGCCCTATCGCTATGCACATAAGGTACTCACACGGCGGCTCGGGCTCGCCTTCGTTCGTTCGTCTTTAAGAGCGAGTGTCGCGCGTCAGTGCCACGCGACTATGAGCCCTATCTCTATGTACATAAGGTCCTCACGCGTCTGCGCGGCCTGCTACAGAGCTGTCACTGCTCAAAGAGACCGCTGTCCACGCTAATGTAACCTCTATTACTATGCACATAAGGTACTCTTGCTCGTCACGCGACTGTGAGCCCTATCTCTATGTCGATAAGGGCGGTACTCACGGGTCTGCATAGCCAGCTGCAGAGCTGTCACTCGCGCTCTAATGAGACCGCTGTCCACGCGACTTCGAACTCTATTGCTATGCACATAAGGTACTCACGCGTCTGTGCAGCCAACTTGCTGCTGTCACTGCTCAAATGAGACCAGCTAGGGCTCGCCACGCTAATATGACCCCTATCTCTATGCACATAAGGGCGCTACTCATGCGTCCGCGCGGGCGGCTTGAAAACTGTCGCTGCTCAAATAGACCGCTGTCCACGCTAATGTAACCTCTATTACTATGCACATAAGGTACTCTTGCTCGTCACGCGACTATGAGCCCTATCTCTATGCACATAAGGTACTCACACGTCTGCGAAGCCAGCTTCAGAGCTGTCACCGCTCAAATGCAAATGATACTGCTGTCCACGCGACTTTGAACTCTATTACTATGCACATAAGATACTCACTCGTCTGCGGGGGCGGCGTCTCCTCGGGCGCGCCTCGGGCTCGCCTTCGTTCGTTCGTCTTTAAGAGCGAGTGTCACGCATCAATGCCACGCGACTTTGAACTCTATTACTATGCACATAAGATACTCACGCGTCTATGCAGCCAACTTGCTGCTGTCACCGCTCAAATGAGACCGGCTCGGGCTCGCTACGCGACTATGAGCTCTAAGTCTATGCACATAAGGGCGCTACTCATGCATCCGCGCGGGCGGCTTGAAAACTGTCGCTGCTCAAAGAGACCGCTGTCCACGCTAATGTAACCTCTATTACTATGCACATAAAGTACTCACGCGGCGGCTCGGGCTCGCCTTCGTTCGTTCGTCTGTATTGCTGTGTACATAAAGGCGAGTGTCGCGCATCAATTCCACGCGACTTTGAACTCTATTACTATGTACATAAGGTACTCACGCGTCCGCGCAGCTAGCTGTCACCGCTCAAATGCAAATGATACTGCTGTCCACGCGACTGTAACCTCTATTGCTATGTACCTAAGTCCACGCGACTATGAACTCTATTACTATGCACATAAGATACTCACGCGTCCGCGCAGCCAACTGCAGCGCTGTCACTGTTCAAATAAGATCACTGTCCACGCGACTGTAACTTCTACCGCGACTGTACCAGCTAAGATTTCGCGCGATAAATTGTGACCGTCACGCTGTCCACACGACTTTGACGGCTACCTAAATAAACTCCGACAAACGTTGCTTCGACATTACGTTACTCCGACACAACTGAATATTGACATGACTTTACTTCGACACTACACTACTCAGACAAAGGATATTACGCCGAAAGTAACGTTTGTCGAAGTTTATTTAGATAGCCGACTTTGAACTCTATTACTATGCACATAAGATACTCACGCGTCCGCGCAGCAAACTTCAGAGCTGTCACCGCTCAAATGATACCGGCTCGGGCTCGCCACGCGACTATGAGCTCTAAGTCTATGCACGTAAGGGCGCTACTCATGCATCCGCGCGGGCGGCTTGAAAACTGTCGCTGCTCAAAGTGACCGCTGTTCACGCTAATGTAACCTCTATTACTATGCACATAAAGTACTCACGCGGAGGCTCGGGCTCGCCTTCGTTCGTTCGTCTGTATTGCTGTGTACATAAAGGCGAGTGTCACGCATCAATTCCACGCGACTTTGAACTCTATTGCTATACACATAAGATACTCACTCGTCTGCGGGGGCGGCGTCTCCTCGGGCGCGCCTCGGGCTCGTCGTCGGAGCTGCCCGAGCTGCCGTGACCGCGTCTCTATTGCTACCTACATAAGGGCGAGTGTCGCGCGTCAGTACCACGCGACTGTGAGCCCTATGTCTATGCACTATCACTGCTCAAATGAGACCGGCTCGGGCTTGCCACGCGACTATGAGCCCTATCTCTATACACATAAGATACTCACTCGTCTGCGGGGGCGGCGTCTCCTCGGGCGCGCCTCGGGCTCGTCGTCGGAGCTGCCCGAGCTGCCGCCCCTAAAGCCCATGACCGCGTCTCGTAGCGACGCTATTGCTACTGCGGAAACAAACAAATAAAACATGTTATATCAGACTGAATTTCACCAGAGTAAATACAAATGAGTAGGTTATCTTCATAGAAACGCACAATTTATCATGGATTAGCGGCGAGTTGCGCCGAATTTTGTCAGTGTGTGCGTGCGCGCCGCATACGTATTGGCGCGCGCTCACATACAAACCGCGCTCGGGCGTTTCTATGAAGATGACCTACTCATTTGTATTTACTCTGCTTCTAACCAATGAACAATATAATATTTTTAGTGATTCCGCCATTTTAAAGTGTTTCGTGGGTCTAATTACGAATTAGTGTGTCGTATGCTTACATTCGTCCTCGGCGTCTGTGGGCGAGCTGGATCCGTCGTCGTTTTCCGAACCTCCAGCCAATTCTTCTTCCTCATCCTCCTCCTGAAAATATAATAACAAATTGTTGACTAAATTGTTCAAATATAGTAAAAACTAGCAGCCGCCCGCGACTTCGTACGCGTTAGCCTCGTTTTACCCCCGTTAGATATCATGTTGATAGATGGCGTTTCACGGCTTCCCTCGCATGAATATTTACGAACGTCAAAAACAGTAGATTGTCCAGCGCTGTAGATTTTAACCAATGACGATAGATGGCGCTTTTTAGACACCTCTTATTTATTTATTGAAATTTATTTGTCACATGTCGTCATAAATTATAGCTTAAGTGTTATTCTGGGTTATAAACAATAATATTGTGAAGTTTCATCAAATCCGTTCAGTAGTTTTTGCGTGAAAAAGTAACAGACATCCAGACATCCACTTTCGCATTTATAATACTAGCTTTCCGCCCGCGGCTTCGCCCGCGTGGAATTTTGTCTGTCACAGAAAAACTTTATCACGCGCGTACCTGTTTCAAAAACCGGGATAAAAACTATCCTATGTTCTTTCCCGGGACTCAAACTATATCTATGCCAAATTTCATCAAAATCGGTTGCGAGGTTTAAGCGGGAAAGCGTAACAGACAGACAGACAGACAGAGTTACTTTCGCATTTATAATATTAGTTGGGATTTAGTAGGATCAGTGCGTATCAATCACGTTTCCGAGCCGTATATCATCACTGGTAACACACACTGATTGAAGACTTTCGTTTTTAGGTACTGAGGTATTTTGGACGAAAAGATGTTGCGTAGTTTTCCGAACGCTAGTTGTTGTTACTTGTATGTGTAAAGATGTGTTGTTGGTAGATCTTTATCAATAAAATAAAATAAACGCTGCCCAGCCGAGTTGAATTCGACGATTTACCTCTTGTATATTTCTCATGTGTCAAGCGAGTATAGCCTCTAGCGTTATAGCAACAAGGCTCAACTCACCGCGTCATCGTCGTGGTCCCATTACATCGTCAAGACTTGGAGGCTTGGGCACAGAATAATAATAAGTACTACGTACAGAAGTTTTACTTCGCGAAGGTATCTAAAAAAAATTATGCTCAATGTCATTAGCATATTTTATGGTGTAATTTAGCCTGTCTCAAGAGTCAAGCACCATTTTGTTGACAAACGTCAGTGATCGGCACTGCGCCGAAGCTATAGGGCTGACTTCGGTAAAATGATGTGACGTGAGGTGCCAAACTGCGGAAAATGGCGGAGGAAATACATGATTTAGCATGAATTATCATGAATAATATTAACTACTTATTTATTTACCTCTCAGTGTCTTGAGGCAACTTAAAAAAGTACATTCTGTGTTTTTACTATTATTTAGGCAGTTAAATACTGCACAGTATTTAGTACACCATTTTCTTTATTTTCTTCCACCATACACAAGAATACGCGTGCGTGAGTCAATGTTCGCTCGTATGTGAGGCCTTGTCGAATAGTATCCTGTAGGTGGGCATCGTGCGTGTTTTGTTTTCGATGTAAACTCGCGGAGATGAACAGGCCTGGCTTGGGCAAGTCGCCGAACAGCTTCTAAGCGACTATAGCCTCTAGCACTATAGCAACAAGGCTCAACTAGGTCATCTTCGTGGTCCCATCACATCGTACACTAGTTCAAATCTCGCCCAGTTTCTAAGCGACTATAGTCTCTAGCGCTATAGCAACAAGGTTCACACTCTTGCCATGCGACTGTAGCGTCTAGCCCTATAGCAATAAGGTCCAACTTACCGCATTATCGCCGTGGTCCCATCACACCGTACACTAGGTCAAATCTCGCCCAGTTTCTAAGCGACTATAGCCCCTTATCCTATAGCCACAAGGTTCACACTCTTGCCATGCGAGTGTAGCCTCTAGCCCTATAGCAACAAGGCTCAACTCACCGCGTCATCGTCGTGGTCCCATCACACCGTACACTAGTTTAAATCTCGCCCAGTTTCTAAGCTACTATAGCCTCTAGCGCTATAGCAACAAGGTTCACACTCTTGCCATGCGACTATAGTCTCTAGCGCTATAGCAACAAGGCTCAACTAGGTCATCTTCGTGGTCCCATCACACCGTACACTAGTTCAAATCTCGCCCCGTTTCTAAGCGACTAGGCGCTATTCGCTGGGTGCGAAGTACTAGGTGGGGGTAACATAATCTATCGCAGCGCTCATGGTGGTCAAAAGTAGAAATAATGTAAGCTCTGTCATCAGATGTATCTGTCAAGTGGTCCCATCACATCTCAAGAATTGGGCAAGTCACCGAATAGCTTCTAAGCGACTACAGTCTCTATGTCTATAGCAACAAGGTCCAACTTACCGCGTCATCGTCGTGGTCCCGTCACATGGTACACTTGGTCAAAGTGGACAAATCTAGTCGTACTCTTGCCACACGACTATAGCCTCTATCCCTATAGCAATAAGGTCCAACTTACCGCATTATCGCCGTGGTCCCATCACACCGTACACTAGTTTAATTCTCGCCCAGTTTCTAAGCGACTATAGCCCCTATCCCTATAGCAACAAGGTTCAACTCACCGCATCATTGTCATGGTACACTTGGTCAAAGTGGGCAAATCTCGTTGCACTCTAGCTACGCGAAAACATATCCTACACCTACAGCAATAAAGACGACAATATCTCACCGCGTCATCGTCGTGGTCCCATGATCCCATCACATGGTCAAGCCTTGCGGAAGTCTTCGAACAGCTTCTAAGCAACTATAGCCTCTATCCCTATAGCCACAAGGCTCAACTCACCGCGTCATCGTCGTGGTCCCTCTTCCGCCCCACGTAGTACACTTTGACGCACGACTCCTAGTTCAAATCTCGCCCAGTTTCTAAGCGACTATAGCCCCTAATCCTATAGCCACAAGGTTCACACTCTTGCCAAGCCACTATAGCCTCTATCCCTATAGCCACAAGGCTCAACTCACCGCGTCATCGTCGTGGTCCCTCTTCCGCCCCACGTAGTACACTTTGACGCACGACTCCTAGTTCAAATCTCGCCCAGTTTCTAAGCGACTATAGCCCCTAATCCTATAGCCACAAGGTTCACACTCTTGCCAAGCCACTATAGCCTCTATCCCTATAGCCACAAGGCTCAACTCACCGCATCATCGTCGTGGTCCCGCTTGCGGCCGACGTCGTACACCTTGACACACGATTCCTGCACCTGGTCGAAGTCGCCCATGTTTTCCACCAGCGATATCTGCGTGCCCCAGCGCGATACGGATAGCGAGTAGATGTTGCGTTTCACGTCTATCGTCGCTGTAACATACAAATTATTGTGTTTGAAATTGAATAATTATTTTTACACTTGAGCACGTAGTACATGCTTATTTCCGATCTTGGCAACCGGTTGCTATAGATTTGTAAAATAGATTAATAAAGCCTAGATAGATAGTAAGAACAAAAAAAATGTGAGGACCATTTCGGCTCACTTGAAATGTCACATAAGTAAAAAAAACTAAATTAATTGTCTTATTAAATAACAAAGAATACAATACAGCGGAAACAAGAATAATATTCAAACTATTTTCACGTGTACAAAGCCGTGAGCTAAAGGTCATAGCACACTTATCGACCCGGAGAGGAATCAACACTTTATCACCTTTCGCCGCTAGGCCAGGCGTTTACGTCACAACTTATGGTGTGGATCAGTGTGCGTTGCAGTACGGAGTTTAATACACATAAATAAATAAATAAATAAATGTAAATACAAAGAATACTGACTGCCTAGAGTTGTATCAACTCGGTTACGATCCGTTTCGGGGGTGATTTTTTTTTTTATGTGATAGGAGGCAAACGAGCAGATAAGTATGATAAGTGTGCTTAGTCCTTTAAAGAGGTAAGGTAAGCTTACCTATACTGGAGTAATCGAAGGGGTCTAGCGTCTTGAAGCTGGTGTCGAATTGGCTGCGCTCCTCCGAGTCTTGGTCGGAACAGACGGCGTATAGCGCCGTGCAGGTTGGGTTGAATATCACCTGCAAACATAATTTACCATAATATTTATTTATTTGCTTTAGACTACAGCTACGCTTTTTCTTCGCTTCGATTTGTAACGATTTATTAGTGGTTTTATCACTCGGTTACAAAATCGATCCCCTGTGGAAAATATGATAAGTACCTTTATACTGAGCACATTTAAATCTTTAGAATAGAATAGAAACACGTTTATTTTTCTGCTACATGGAAACACATACAAATACAACTTATAAATTAGGGTTATCGCGATTGAAAAATCCGCCAGATGGCAATACGTAGACGCGAGGTCCAAATGCTGCATGATTGGTTATTTTTGACATGACATTGACAGATATGTCAAAATCCGCAGCAGTTAGACCCCACATCCACGTCCCGCCATCTAGCGGATCTTTCATTCACGAAAACCCTCATTCTAGTCGTCACATCAAATTTGTATTTTAACTGTTCGGTAGATGGCACTAGTACAGCACACGTCAGCCAGTAAAGTAGCGCCATCTAGCATTATAAGTCGAACTACAAGGTACCGGTGACGATAATAAGCTTTACGCGAGGCTTTTACCAATATAGATGACCCACGCTGAACTGTCCCACCAAACTCAATGACAGGGGAGCGCTACCATCGTTCAACTATATGGTTTCCAACATGGCAAAAATCGGAACCAGCGATCCGGTATTGACGGTGGCGCCCCGCTGTCAATGTCATGGATAGGACAGTTCAGTATTTTGGAACTATGTCGTTCTTTGCTCGCTGTTTTGTCAAAATAGACGCATGGAATCTATGATTATGTTAAAAAATCGGCATTTTGAAATAAAATAAGTAACTCACCTCTGATTTATCTAACGTTGGCACTGTCCGAAGTAGATGGAACGTCCGTAGGTCCCACACTTCTGTGTTTGATATTACCTGCGGAGACAAAATGTTTGCATTATTATACAGGGCGGAATTTTGTAATACCGCTTGAAGGGAAAGTACTCTTAATACTGTAGATAGAAAATTTTACTCTAAGAAAGCATTATTTTTAGCAATTATTTTTGAAAAGAAAGAGAACTGCATTCAAAGATTTCCGAAAATTCGCTTGGCACACCCTAGAATCGTACCGACTAAAATCTGTAAAAAATTACACCCTGTATTTTTATTGAATCGATCGTTAGGGTTAATTATAAGGATGAAATCTCTTTCTAACTAACTTGTTGAATTGAATGAGAGGAAAACGACGAAATCTTAAATTATTTACCAAAAAAATAATGAAGGAAAATTCTCGGAATTTTTCGGAAATCTTGACGTCACTGACTGAGTTATGAGCTAGTCTAGACCAAGGGTGGCCCAATAGATTTTCCAGATGATTAAAAATTTCTTAGACTGTAGCGACGCCGGGCCACAGCTTTTTGAAAATCAAAGCAAAAGCAAAACTATACTAAATTCATAAGGCCATTTAAGGCCACCGCGCGCCGACAAATTTATTTATTTATTTATTTTCACCAACTTAAAATATCTTTACAGGTCAATAAGCTAATACGATAGAATAAATTATTTTGTAGGCAGGTACACTGTATCTCCGTAGGAGAACCAGAGTGACTGACATAGCCCGCAGAATCGATAAAATCAAGTGGCAGTGGGCGGGGCACATAGCTCGAAGAGCTGATGGCCGCTGGGGAGGAAAGTTCTTGAGTGACGACCACGAGCCGGAAGACGTAGCGTGGGCAGGCCTCCCACTAGGTAGGGATATTCGATATACATCGATGTTTTGAAAACATCGATGTTTACAATGCGATACATCGAATGGATCCGATGTTTTGAAAAGCTATTGAAATACTCGATGTATCGATGTTTTTAAGTTTTCAGTGTTAAAACATCGAATCGATGATAACCAATTAAAATTTCATAAAACTCAAGTCTGACCACTAAAATTTTACTTATATGGACAACCCAACTTGTATTTTAAAAATGTTGGCAACACTGCGTACGAGTGCAGTGAGTATTGTCTCTAGTGACAATAAAAAAAAACTGTTATGTCAATGTCGCGTCACGCGTGTCGGTTGGCGAGTTTGTTTGTGTCAATCAACAAAAAAATAGGCTGAAACGCAAACGTTTAAATAAACTGTTGTTTTTGCAAAGTCTTCCAAAAGAACACTGGAAATATTTAGGATAGGTATAATAACAAACTTATAAAAATAAATGCGGATGTTTTTTTTTTGTTCTTACTTTAAACAGTGTGAGTCACGTTAAAGTGTGCATATGAAAATATGTGAAACTAGACCTATTTTTATCGACAAAAAAAGGTCAAAAATTTTTTGAGATTTTTTTTTCTTTTTAAAGATTTTTTTTCTTACAATTACTTCTCGTAAAGAAAACGTAATAACTTTTAAAATAAGAGGTATATCCTGATAACATAAAAACAGTAATAATGCTAAATAACAGGCGATACTAAAAAAAACATAAAACACCCAGAAAATGCCAACAAATAATAAAAAAAATTACTTTTTGAAAAAAATCTGCTTTTAAATTCGTGTTTTTTTGGTTATTTGATAAATTTCTCCAAAAAATGCCCCTATAACAGGTATTTTTTATTACTTTGTATTATTCTCTATCGTATTACTTTTGTAAAACCAAAAATTGCATGTCTCTATCCCTATCACAACATTTGCTATGATCGTTTAAACAAAGGCCTGCCACCACATTATTCTCCACTACAGGTGGAGACAATTTTAATTTTAGGTAAAATGCTTATTTTACTTCGAAATCTTTTGTTTTTATTTGAAATGTAACTCGTCTTTATCAAAATTACAAATCTAGAGCCAGTTTCAGTTTCGTTGTTAACGAAGCGTTGAATGGCCCGCCCGGAGAGGCTTAGTTCAAACGATCATTGCAAACATTGTGATAGGGATAGAGACATGCGATTTTTGGTTTTACAAAGGTAATACGATAAAAAATAATACAAAGTAATAAAAACCACCTGTTATGGGGGCATTATTTGGAGAAATTTGTCAAATAACCAAAAACACGAATTTTAAAGCAGATTTTTTTTCAAAAAGTATATTTTTTATTATTTGTTGGCATTTTCTAGGTATTTTATGTATTTTTTTAGTATCGCTTATTATTTAGAATTATTACTATTTTCATTTGATAAGGATATACCTCTTAGTTTAAAAGTTATTACGTTTTCTTTACGAGAAGTTAATTGGAAGAAAAAAAATTCTATAAAAAAAAATCTCAAAATTTTTTGACCTCTTTTTTGTCGATAAAAATAGGTCTAGTTTCACCTTTTTTCATATGTGCACTTTAATATGACTCACACTGTATAATGAAGATTTTTCTCATGTATGGCTTTTACTGTTTTTTAATAATACAATGCTTAAATTAGTGGATTATAAAAAAACTTAAAAAAGTACTCGATTTATACAAAACATCGATGTTTTCTTCCAATACATCGAAAGAAATCGATGTACAGTTTCAAAATATCGAATCGAAAAAAACATCGATGTTTTTTCAAAGTGGACACCCCTACCACTAGGTGGACCGACGATCTGGTGAAGGTCGCGGGAGGTGCCTGGGTGCGAGCGGCGCAGAACCGGTCTTTGTGGAAATCCTTGTGGGAGGCCTTTGTCCAGCAGTGGACGTCTTTCGGCTGAACCGAACACTGTATCTACTTATAACTAACAATAAAAAGCGCGGCTCTTACGAATTCAAATGCCTGGGTTTGGCCAGGCTTGTGATAGACATATAGAACCTAAGATAGACTCACTTCTAATCCGTTAGGGTGAAACACGCCGCTGTGCGTTTGGTTCAGTTTGTCGAACTTGTGGATTTCTTTGCCCGAGTTCACGTCCCAGAGCACGCCATCTGAAAATGATAAATTAACACAGCGATAAAAACTTATACAGATAGAAAATCGTGCAAGATATTATCGATATTATCTCAGGAATTACTGGTCCGATTTGAAAAAATATTTTTGTGTTGGATAGTCCATTTATCGAATAAGTAAGCACCTGATGTCATGCCCTGAGTGCCCAAGCAACTGCACTCAGGAGGATTTGATGAGTGCTACTGACAACGCCACTCTTGTGGCGGAGTTTTGGGCTGACACTGTGTAGGTTTGTTGTCGACAAGAAAAGAAGAAGTAATATAACATCACCCTAATCAGTTCAATTTGAGACATCTTTTGATTCTAGACACTAGTGTCAACCTACAGTAACGACTCGCTATAGCAAGGCTGCCCAACCCCAGCCCGCGGAAGAATTTTAAGTGGCTCGCGCAAGTATTGTTTGAAAATACGTACCAAATTCGAAACTATGACACATATTTGTGACTTGTTACAAGCTTTTTATTACAAGCTTTATTATTACAAGCTTTTTACAAGCTTTATATTGACTTCACTTGTTAGTATGTGTGGGACAAATCTTGCAACTAAATTTAAGACCAGTTCTCCTCAACCGATTGAGCTGAAATTTGGTATACTTATGTAACTACGATGACAATGCAATGTTATGGTACCATTGAGCTGGTCTGATGATGGAGTCAGGAGGTGGCCATAGGAACTCCTAAACGAAAAGGCGGAAACTTATCAAATTTGGGTTCGTTGGATTCGTCTTCTCGAGCACTTTAGTGTTAAATGATCACCAGCGCCCTGAGATTGTGATACAACTAAAAAGTGTAAAATAAAATTATAGTAAAAAAAACTTTTTTAAAAACAAGCTTTAATTCTGATATGCAGTTGTACTAAAACGAAAAAAATAATTGTATGCAAGGTTCAAATAATTTCGAAAGCTTGTAGCGCAAACAGAATAATTATAAGGGGAATAAAATCCATGCGCGATACAAGCTTTCGAAATTATTTGAACCTTGCATACAATTATTTTTTTCGTTTTAGTACAACTGCATATCAGAATTAAAGCTTGTTTTTAAAAAAGTTTTTTTTACTATAATTTTTGTTTGTATTGAATAGGCTCCAAAACCACTGGGCCGATATAAAAATTCTTAAGTAAGTGTCCAGCCAGCATTAAAGCCCTGCAAAGCTGCAGATTTGAAGTTAGTCATGTAAAGAGGTAAATTATTGTCAAATGATTATTGTATGTATCATACTAATACTTGTAACCGCTGTTTGAAATGTTAGCTATAATTGCATAGTTTATAGAATACTAATTAAATAATCAATAGCTAATTTAGCAAAGTTTAAGTATTCGTAGCTCCCTTAACACGTTGACTGCCAAAGGAAATTTACTAATTCGCCAAAATTGAATTTTTTGTTAATCGATGTGTANCTTTTTTAAAAACAAGCTTTAATTCTGATATGCAGTTGTACTAAAACGAAAAAAATAATTGTATGCAAGGTTCAAATAATTTCGAAAGCTTGTAGCGCAAACAGAATAATTATAAGGGGAATAAAATCCATGCGCGATACAAGCTTTCGAAATTATTTGAACCTTGCATACAATTATTTTTTTCGTTTTAGTACAACTGCATATCAGAATTAAAGCTTGTTTTTAAAAAAGTTTTTTTTTACTATAATTTTATTGTTACTGTCAACTTCGGATTTATCGCCGTTTTTATTGCGCTTGTCCTGAAAGTAACTGAAATACGACTGAATCCGCCGTTTGGCGCGACTTCAAAAGGTTGAGCAGCCTTGCGCTATAATTATAACTCTACTGTCTACAATATCTTACCGAACAGCACCAGTTCGTCAGGGCGTCCAGGGTCATCAACACGCTTCCAGTGCGCGTTTCAAATACAGTTATGACTCTAGTGTCTACAGTTGACTCTACTGTCAACAGTTGACTCTACTGTCTACAGTTGACTCTAGTGTCTACAGTTGACTCTACTGTCTACATTTGACTCTGGTGTCTACAATTGACTCTATTGTCTACAATTGACTCTATTGTCTACAATTGACTCTACCATCTACAATATCTTACCAGATAGCACCAGTTCGTCAGTAGGGTTGAACGTCGCTCTGTTCTTGGCGTACTGATTACTGATGGCGGGCGTCAGGGTCATCAACTCGCTTCCGGTGCGCGTGTCAAATATGGTCGCCGTCTCCCCACGTGTCCCGATGATGCGTTCGTCGGACATCTTGGAAAACTCCACGTATTCCTCGTTGTCTAGTTGGAATCTGATGGTTGGTAACACTTTAGCGGACATTTTTTGAGCTGCCGACTTTTGAATAGGATGGAAATCTAGTGTTTTTTATTTATTTATAGATGTAGCGCTTAACTGGGTCAGTGCCTCAGGCGTATGAGATGGGAGTGACACAGGAGGGTAATTTTGCGACGGTCAAACGTCAGCCTAACTTCAGGGGGCGTGGTGTGAGTGAGTTTACATCAAAGGTCGTCACTAGTGAGCGCGTAAAAAAATACATTAAATGTATGATGGATTGTACAGCGCCCCTAGCGGAAACTTTCAAGATATAAATTTTCATTTTTTTTTTAACACTCACTAGTGAGGACCTTTGATGTAAACTATTGTAAACTCACACTAACACACACTTGATGTAAACTATTGCCCTCAGATCTTCAATTTGTATGCTCTGTCACGTCATAATATGTCAATGTCACCCTTCCCGTGCCGATCTCATACCTCAGGCACTGACTGAGTTAAGCGATATACCTATAACTTTAGGGTGATAATTTATCTATCATTGTCAATCAATAGCAATCCTAGCTTTCCCCAAGAAGCGACAAAGACCGCTATATCCCACTTTTTTCATTCATAATTTGTAAATTATTACAGGTCAATTAAACTATCGTAATGTACTGATGTAATTCAAGCGTGAGACGTCCACTCACAAGGTGGACCGACGACCTCATAAAGGTAAGGAAGGCGCTGGATGCAGGCCGCTACTAATTTGGCGATGTAGAAATCATTGGGGAGACCTATGTTCAGCAGTGGACGTCCAGTGGCTGAAATGATGATGAATGATGATTGAACTGATGACATCTCATCAAGGTAAACACCGTGGCATCTTAATGAGGGTTTTCGCGATTGAAAAATCCGCCAGATGGCAATACGTATTGCCATCTGGCATATTTTTCAATCGCGAAAACCCTCATTCTTCAGTAATAAGAACGATTTCGCAACACAATTGTATAATCTGAGGTGGAATTGTGTAATGCAATCGTAATCATTTGACAGTTCATAACGTACGATAAAGTCAGTTAAACAAAGCGTTTGACAGAATAATCGAACGTTATGAACTGTCAAATGATTACGATTGCTTTACACAATTCCACCTCTGAAGTCTAAGAATAAAAAATAGTCCTTAATGTAACGACATAAGAACAAAAATTGCATGAATTAAGTATGTGCAGAATACTTACAACTGTTCGAATTCTTTCATGTTCCACAACGCCGACAGAGGTCGCCACGTCGTGGGCGTTGACGCTAGTAGTAGTAACCCGTCTCTGCTCGCCTGGAAAAAAGCTTTTCTTTAGACTACATAAATAATGTAAGTCAAATCAATAAATAATATAGAATCAAAACAGTAGTAATTCGGTTCGATTTGATTTATTTTACAAGAAACGAAATCTTTCGACTTGCTGATCACAAAGCTTATCTGAAATACATATAAAAAATCAAAGCAAAAAAGTATAAAATTCGCAATCACATAATATTTAGCTTGGACCAATGTTAATTGTTGATGTTGATTTTTGTCTAATAGTAATATCCATAAAATATAGTGTCAAAAAGTCGATAACACATCCTTCTTCCAATTGAACGTCCTTGTTTCGAACTTTTAGGCTTCTTTGGGTGTCACGAACTATTATAATGCTTTTAGAAACTAGAGAGTTGAGTGTGTGAGAGATAGAAACGCTCCTCCCATATCGCCGTCTCACTGGCCCGTCGCACCCATCAACATCATAGAGCGGTATGTGCGAGATAGCAGAGCGAGAGAGAGAACGTTACACGATGTTGATGCGAGGATACTAAGACCCAGTTTTTTGATTCGTAGTTAAAATAACCAATAGTCAAATTTGACAGATGTCAAATGACAAGTGGTTAAATATCAGAAAAAAAAGTTTTTCGAACAATGATTAGCTTGACTTTTAGTACATTTTTTAACTATTTGTTTACATTTTGTTAATATTGGTACCAAAATGTAACAATTTGTTATTTTAACTATGAATCAAAAAGCTGGGCCTAAGTACTTTAAATACAATGCCCCAATTATGAACCTCCCTCTTACTGACCTGCATGTGACAAATATATGCGTGCAGAGTGTCGTGCACTTGGTATGAACTCTCCTCGACGCCGCTGAACAGGTTGAATATCCGAATGTCGCCCGAGGACGTCGCCGCTAACAGCTGATGTTGCGTTGGCTGCAACAAAACGGCAAGTCATTTATATAGATTATAAACAATAGTGGCCCCAAGATAGTTCCCTGTGGAACGTTAACATTGTTCCCAGAAACTATGGATTTTGAATTTGTTTCTTCTTTGCGAGTATTTAAAGATTTGACTTGTAAGTGTTGGCGGCGATTATAAAGATAAGATTAAAGCCAATTAAGTGCCATGCCTCTTAAACCATATTTGTCGCATTTTTGCTGGAGAATTTCATGACAAAGTCAAATGCCTTGCTCATGTCAAAAAATATAGCTGTAGCATCTATACCTTTATCAAAACACTCTGTTACGTTTTTTATTAAGTTAAAAGTTGCAAGCGTAGTGGATTTACCCTTACGAAATCCATTTTGTTTATTAGTTAAAATGTTGTTTTTCGAGAAATTTATAGATCCTTGTATGCAATGCTTTTTCAAAAACTTTAGCTAGCTTGTTGCAACACAAACTTTGCGTTCAACGTATTTCCTGTAAGTATGAAATTAGTGCTAGTGGTTGAATTCCGACGTTACCACTAGAAAAATCCACCAGACACTAAAACCACCGCGGGCATTGGGCGGGTCAAGTAGCTCGTAGAACTGATAGGAAGGTAGCAAGAAGGCGCTGGATGCAGGCCGCTACCAACCAGCCTTTGTGGAAATCATTGGGGGCGGCCTATGTCCAGCAGTGGACGTCCTGTAGCTGAAATGATGATGATAGCGAGTGTACTCACATGGAATATGGTATGCGTGAAGTACAGTCAGCGTCAAATAGTTCGTGACAACCAAAGTAGTCAAAAAGTCCGAAACACGTCTTTGTTACAATGGGAATAAGGTTGTGTTGTCAACTTTTTGGCCACTCTGGGTGTCACTAACTGTTTGATGCTGGCTGTACGCGTTATCGTCTTGTAGCTGCAGTATCATTGGGGGAGGCCTATGTTCAGCAGTGGACGTCCTGTGGCTGAGATGATGACGATGATGATGAAGACTTTCGTCGCGTGTGTTTTGTTTTCGATACCTACTCGGTGATGAACTTGAACAGGCCTGATGTTAGCAGGATCTATGTACTCACGTGGAAGATAGTGTCCGTGAAGAAAGCGTCATCGTCCTGCAGTCGGAGACGGCTATGCTCGGTGTTCCGTTGCGAGATCGAATCAAAAATGAGGAGTAAACGACATAGCCCGACGGATTGGCAAGCCGAAGTGCTGGGCAGGGCACATAGTACGCAGAACTGGCGGCCGATGGGACGGCAAGGTTCTGGAGTGAAGGCCACGTGCATGGGACGTCCACCCAGAAGGTGGACCGATGACCTCATAAAGGTAGCAGGAAGGCGCTGGATGCAGGCCGCTACCAACCGTACGATGTTGAAATCATTGGAGGAGACCTATGTTCAGCAGTGGACGTCCTGTGGCTGAAAGAAACTAACGATTATTACTATCTACTCACGCGGAAGATAGTGTGCGTGAAGTAAGCATCGTCGTCTTGTAGCCGCAGCGTGCTCCTGTGGTTGAGGTGATGATGATGATGATGATGATGATGATGATGATGAGTGTACTCACGTGGAAGATGGTGTGCGTGAAGTAAGCGTCGTCATCCTGCAGCCGCAGCATGCTCCTGTGGTTGAGGTGATGATGATGATGATGATGATGATGATGATGATGAGTGTACTCACGTGGAAGATGGTGTGCGTGAAGTAAGCGTCGTCATCCTGCAGCCGCAGCGTGCTTCTGTGGTTGAGGTGATGATGATGATGATGATGATGATGATGATGATGATGATGATGATGATGATGATGATGATAAGTGTACTCACGTGGAAGATGGTGTGCGTGAAGTAAGCATCATCGTCCTGCAGCCGCAGCGTGCTCCTGTGGTTGAGGTGATGATGATGATGATGATGATGATGAGTGTACTCACGTGGAAGACGGTGTGCGTGAAGTAAGCATCGTCGTCTTGTAGCCGCAGCGTGCTCCTGTGGTTGAGATGATGACGATGATGATGAAGACTTTCGTCGGGTACGCCGCGCGTGTTTTGTTTTCGATGTCTAAAGCCTGGTCCGTGAGCACGTAGAATTTTGTCCAATGACCCCAAGGTACCCATCCTTATCGCTCGCGCGTAATTATATTGCTGTCGCGACTGTGCGACGCGCGCCCGCAGTGAGTGTGCGAGCGCGACAGCAACATAATTACGCGCGAGCGATAAGGATGGGTACCTTGGGGTCATTGGACAAAATTCTACGTGCTCACGGACCAGGCTGAGGCTACTCGGTGATGAACAGGCCTGATATTAGTAAAATCTATGTACTCACGTGGAATATGGTGTGCGTGAAGTAAGCATCGTCATCTTGTAGCCGCAGCGTGCGCACGGGCGCAAAGTGTGAGTGCACGAGGCGTGCGTCCGCGCGCCGGCAGCCGCTCGTGTAGCCGAGTTCTCTGCAAGGAAGTGTACGTGTAAAATGCATTCAAATGGGTTCACCCTTTAGGCTCGTTTCCATCAAATCGGAGCGGAGACGAGAAGTGAAAATAATTAATGGTATTCAACACACATCTCTGCTCCACTCCGCTTTGGAAACCGGACCTTAAGGAGATACGGTGCCATGCCACAGACACAGTCACATAGCGGACAAACATATTATTACTCCCGTCTTTTTGCATCGGGGAATAAATATACTTTTCGCAATACGAGCGTTTAACTGTCATAGATATAAATATGTACCTATGTACAAATAAATTAAAACTCATTTATTTAGTAGGCATTTAATAAGCACTTTTACACGTCATATAGTACAAGCTTTGCTTAGTTTGGGACTAGAAATGTAGTGTAAAATGGCCAAGGATATTTATTTATTATTTATTCAACTGTCTTTGCAAAAACTATTCAACAAATATTTGAAAAGTTGTATAATTTGCGAAGAATATTTCCAAAAACATTTGAGCAAAAACATACCTTCTCGAGACTCTCGCGCAGACGCTAGCGGCGCAACCGCCGGACAGAACCGACCACGTCGAACGAGGATCGGGGCACTTGTGTGGTCTGGAATACAAACAGTTTCAAGTTAACATTATAAAGAGAAAGCATTCTGGGAGGCCTATGTTCAGCAGTAGACGTCCTATGGCTGAAATGATGATGATAAATGTTTGTAAGTTTGTGAAAGAAAGAATGTAAGCTCTAAAGCGAGGTTTAGACTAGTAAAACTTGCAGAAGTTGATTTCCGCATTCCGCAAGCTGTTTAGGGGCCAATCATTTATTAAGTAAGACGATTTAGGGAGGGAGGGGTTCGACCATGTCTTATTTTTTCTTACAAGGGAGTGGGAGGGAGTCTTGATTGTTCTTACGTAAGATCACAAAAATGCACAACGTTAAACTTCTTGTAGTTTTGCTCCGACACCCCTCTAGCCTAGAAGCTGGGTACGACTAGCCCCCTTCTAGCCCAGAAGCTGGGTACGACTTGCCCCCTCCTAGCCCAGAAGCTGGGTACGACTTGCCCCCTCCTAGCCTAGAAGCTGGGTACGACTTGCCCCCTCCTAGCCCAGAAGCTGGATACGACTTGCCCCCTCCTAGGCCAGAAGCTGGGTACGACTTGCCCCCTCCTAGCCCAGAAGCTGGGTACGACTTGCCCCCTCCTAGCCCAGAAGCTGGGTACGACTTGCCCCCCTCATAGCCCAGAAGCTGGGTACGACTTGCCCCCTTCCCTAGGCTAGACGCTAAATAAAATATGCGCATGTGTGTACTCACTGGAACAGGTTGAACTGCGGGCAAGTGACGACGGGGTTCTTGCACAGCGCGTGCTGGTTGTAAAGGTACTCGGTGATGATGCTGTGCAGCGTGATGCGGTGCTGGCTCTGCGTGGTGTCTGTGGCCACGCTCATTTGCTTCTGGAGGGAGCGCTTGTGTTCCGACGCCCTTCTAGCCTCCCCTACCCCCCAGGATAGAAGCGACTCCCCCCAGACCAGAGGCTGAAGGATTCCCCCCCAGGAGGCCAGTAGCTGGGTATGACTTCCCCCCTTTTCAGGCCAGAAAGCTGGGAATGACTCCCTCCTGGCCAGAAATTGGGAATGACTTATCTCTCCACCCAGACCAGTAGCTGGGTTACTCCCCCCCAGGCCAGAAGCTGGGTATCACTTTCCCCCAGTACAGAAGCTAGCTATGACCCCCCTAGACCATTAGCTGGGTGACTACCCCTTAGATTCCCCCCTTTCCAGGCCAGAAAGTTGGGAATGATTCCCCCCCAGGCCAGAAGTTGGGAATGACTTACCTCTCCACCCAGACCAGAAGCTAGGTATGACAACCCCCCCAGAAGCTGGACGACTCCCCCCCAGACCATAAGTTGGGTTACTCCCCCCCAGGCCAGAAGCTGGGTATGACTTTCCCCCAGTACAGAAGCTAGCTATGACCCCCCTAGACCATTAGCTGGGTGACTACCCCTTAGATCAGAAGCTGCGTGACTCCCCCTCAGTCCAGAAGCTGAGTATGACCCCCAGGTCAAGCTGTAGATCCTGGCTACACAGGGGTTGCAGCGGTGGGAACGAGAGGTGGGAATAATCCCGTATGTACTCACTGGAACAGATTGAACTGCGGGCAAGTGACGACCGGGTTCTTGCACAGCGCGTGCTGGTTGTAAAGGTACTCGGTGATGATGCTGTGCAGCGTGATGCGGTGCTGGCTCTGCGTGGTGTCTGTGGCCACGCTCATTTGCTTTTGGAGGGAACGCTTGTGTTCTGACGCCGATGATATGGGCGTTGACAGCGCTGGCGTTTGGCTCTGAAGTTTCCTGTTGGTGTAGACTCTGCTTTACATTATTTGAAGTTCACACGAATAAACAAAACTTACTAAATACATATTATGGAAGTATAAAAGGTATAAGGCTACACTCGACAGCAAATAAATCGCACCTCCCGCGACAAGCATTTTCAAACGTATAGTAAAGAAATTAAATGTGTTTTTCTTTAAGGATATTTATTGCCCTTTCAAATAACACCAATATTGTTGGGGTACCATGATTGTGTCAGAAGAAAATCTTTAAAGTTCGCGTCGCGGAAGGTGCGATTTATTTGATGTTGAGTGTATATTGTAAACATTAATAAAAACTGCGTTTGCTCCAAAAAGGTCGGATCGTTTATGATGGAACACTCATTGGCAAATAGTTGATGTGACTGTTCTTTTAGCAAAGTAGAAAGGATCTGTTCAGGTTATACTATCCTTTTTAGTGCCTCGTACTAAGCTAAATGGTCATACCATAATCCTTTTTTTAGCACTAAATGCTTGTGTTACGAGTGGGTTCATAGTTGACCGGCGGCGGGGATCGAACCTGCGTTCCTTAGATGTCAAGTCAGCCAGTCGAAGCTCAGTCTACATAGTAAAAACTAATTGAGGTACTATGCCTTAACCGGTCGGCTATCGTGGCTTCTTATGTTTAGGACAACATTAAGATAAAAGATAAATAAATTATATGTGATAAAAGGGCAAGGGAACAGCCAAGGGTACACAGGAAAATAAGGGAAATGAACGCCATTTTGAGCAGCTTTCAAAAATTAAAAGAAAAACGTAACTTTAAAGTAATTGATAGTAGTATAGTGTATAGAAAAGACACGGGTCTTGACGAAACTTACATATGTGCTCACGGCTTGACGTTTCGGCTGCTATGCTGCAGCCGTGGTCACAAGCAGACTGGCGTTAAGACCCGTGTCTTTTATATTTTAGTTAAAATGGAACGGAGTTTAAAATCTTATAATAAAGACTATAGTGTGATGAATACCTCAACTTGATGACGTGCGGCTGCGGACTGCTCTCGTCGTGGTGGTGGTTTAGATCTAGGCTGTCTCGGTGCAGGGAGCCAGTGCTGCTCGCTCGTGACGCTGACAGACGAGGCTGCAAGTAGAAATAATAATTTAATATGGGAGATTCATTCTATTGTGTGAATCCACTCCTAACACAAGCATTTACTTTGCTTAGCTTAGCTGGAGGGTAATGGGAAAGGTCCTCGCCTTATCCAGGTGAAAGCGAGTTTCACCTGGAATCCTCAACTAGAACTGGCCCATTCATTGTCCCGAAGCAGTGGTAAGGTTAATACCGGGACGTGTAAAAGTGCTTTTTAAAAGCCTACTTGCAAAAATAAAACGAGTTTTTATTAGAAGGAACTGCAGAAACACAACACTGCTGTTAACATAATTGTTATGGCGACAGAACTAGTACCCGATGCGCGGATTACTATTCATTTATTGGGTACACCGACATAGTCATACATTTTTAAAACTTAGTTAACATGTGATGCGTATATGACACAACTAAATAAATAAATAAATAAACTAGTGGCCGCCTGCGACTTGTCGACGCGTGGACCCCGTTTTACCCCCTCAAGGATGGAGTTTCCTAAAATCCGTTCTTACACTCTACAGGGTGTTAGGTAAATGGGTATATGAGCCGATAATAAATTTTATAAAATCCGATTTGTATGAAAATTAATATGAAGATATCAATTTTCTGACTTCACCATACCATTTTTATGCCCATGTTAACATGGGCTATAAGTGTCGGCTCATATACCTATTTACCTAACACCCTGTACAAGACAGACCTAATAAATAAATAAATAAATTAATGTAAAGAGAATGAGTGGTATTTCGCGTTTATATGCATGTATAGAAGATAGATTACAGGCATACACTTCCTTTTGCAAGGTTAGTGTATGCCATGCACTATGCGTTCATATCCTAGCGAACAGGCGCTGCTTTCGGGGACTGGTCAATCCAAGTTATTCAATTTATGTATGCGAGTCATTTCTACTAGTATCTTAATATGTAAGTCTAGATATTAGCACGTCACTACCTTGTTTAATATACCACGCAATCGTGTATACCCATTCTTATAAGATACACCATACAAGAATGCATGGTAAATTCAGTGAACTGCTCCTGAATCGAATGTACCTACTACTACTATTTCTATTTATTTATATTGACCGGCAGACAGTGGTGACTGAGTTTGTTGCGGCGCTTCTTCTCAGCACTTGCCAAATCAATTGGATCAAATATGTAATTGCTCAATAATGAATCTATATATATAAAAATGAAACCCGTTTCGCGTTGTCACGGCATCACGTGTGAACGGCTGAACCGATTTCGATAATTCTTTTTTTTAAATGTTTGTGAAAGTCCAAGGATGGTTCTTACGGAAAAAAATATTAAGAAAATCTCTACGCTAAGGCGGTACGAAGTTCGCCGGGTCAGCTAGTAATAAATAAAAAAATAAAAAAAAATAATGTTGGTCTCGAAGCGCTGGTAGGGTAAAAAGATTATGAGACATGTAGAGGCTCCTTAAGAGCAAAATGACGATTTGTAAGAACTATTTATTAGTCCAAACAAATAAAGAAATTTTGACTTTGACTTTGACTTTGACAAAAAAAGGCGCACTTACCCGCACCGGCGTGGACGGCGTGTAGACCGGCGGCGGCGGCGGCGCTGGCGCGGCGGCGGCCGGCGGCGGCAGCCCCGCCTCCCGCTGCAATGTCGCCGCCGACTCTGACAGTCCCCTCGCTAATAAATGCTCCGCCACCAGTTGTAGTAGTTGCCGTTCGTTGTAGTTTATGCGCGTTTGCGCTACCACGTTTGCCTGGGGACAGAATTAATGATGATGACCTGACCAACAACTTTCTCGTTGAAAATGATAAAAAAAAATATCTTTAAACGAAGAGCAGTCGCCCGGCAAGCGAAAAGTGTTCGATTTCCACTTAGGTAGGCTTAATATTTTCAAGTTACTTTAAAAATATTTAGATCGAGAGGCGACTCTTTAGTGGAATTTTTAGTGTCCTCATTTCACATCGGAACCATTTCACCCAGGTGAATTGATTCGACTAAAACAAACCTTGTTCAGCTAGGAATTAATTCACTCAGATGAACAGATGCTAAGACCTGGCTGAATTAATTCCTAGGTGAAAAAAGGCAACTACTTTAGTAGACTCAATTGACCTGGAACATTAAGCTAGAAAAGGGGCTCCGAGGTGAAATGGAGACACTAAAAATTCCACTTTCTTCACCCAGGTGATATCACCTAGCACCTAGGTTAGGTAGTTAGGTACTAATTCCACTTTGTTCACCTAGGACCTAGGTTAGGTAGTTAGGTACTAATTCCACTTTGTTCACCTAAGACCTAGGTTAGGTAGTTAGGTACTAATTCCACTTTGTTCACCTAGGACCTAGGTTAGGTAGTTAGGTACTAATTCCACTTTGTTCACCTAGGACCTAGGTTAGGTAGTTAGGTACTAATTCCACTTTGTTCACCTAGGACCTAGGTTAGGTAGTTAGGTACTAATTCCACTTTGTTCACCTAGGACCTAGGTTAGGTAGTTAGGTACTAATTCCACTTTGTTCACCTAGGACCTAGGTTAGGTAGTTAGGTACTAATTCCACTTTGTTCACCTAGGACCTAGGTTAGGTAGTTAGGTACTAATTCCACTTTGTTCACCTAGGACCTAGGTTAGGTAGTTAGGTACTAATTCCACTTTGTTCACCTAGGACCTAGGTTAGGTAGTTAGGTACTAATTCCACTTTGTTCACCTAGGACCTAGGTTAGGTAGTTAGGTACTAATTCCACTTTGTTCACCTAGGACCTAGGTTAGGTAGTTAGGTACTAATTCCACTTTGTTCACCTAGGACCTAGGTTAGGTAGTTAGGTACTAATTCCACTTTGTTCACCTAGGACCTAGGTTAGGTAGTTAGGTACTAATTCCACTTTGTTCACCTAGGACCTAGGTTAGGTAGTTAGGTACTAATTCCACTTTGTTCACCTAGGACCTAGGTTAGGTAGTTAGGTACTAATTCCACTTTGTTCACCTAGGACCTAGGTTAGGTAGTTAGGTACTAATTCCACTTTGTTCACCTAGGACCTAGGTTAGGTAGTTAGGTACTAATTCCACTTTGTTCACCTAGGACCTAGGTTAGGTAGTTAGGTACTAATTCCACTTTGTTCACCTAGGACCTAGGTTNCCCCGACACCCGCTCCAACAGTTCCAGCGCGTATTTCTGGAACATCACGTGTTCTTGCCGCTTCTCTTGTAAGATAGGGTCGCGCATTAGGACTGCAAAGATATAAATTGAGATGAGAAGACTATTCGAAAGAGAAATATCGTAGTTTAGTTCTTGCAACTCACGAAGGCGAGTGAGCTTTACTTGTGTGTGCGCATAACAATAGTGTAATGTCTGTCAAAACTTTCGAAAAACGAACAGAAGCGAGCCACCACACATGTAAAACTCACTCGCCTTCGTGAATTGCAACAACTATTTATTTTTCTTCTTTACAAAGGTTATAGGTGAAAAAACGGTTTTATTCTCTTCACGTCTCGTAAACTCGCGTGATGAGCATCTAGACTATAGAAGCTTCAATTTATTGGTACTATACTACTTTTCTTCTAAATAATTTTGTGTTTATCGAGTGAGTTTCCGACAATAGAACAATAGTCGAGCGCGGCGGGGTTCAAACCCGCGTTCCTCGGATGTCGAGTCGACGAGTCCGACCCCTTTACCGGGGTTACACACTACACAAATTACCACCCTTATGGCGCCGAGCAACTGTCCCCTCCCCCTCCAGGAAGGAACTAAGTCAAATTATCTGACCAGTCCCCCCCTGGATGCTGGATATGACTCCCCCCCCCCAGGCTAGAAGCTGATACGCCCATTGACGCAGTTATAACCGCAAGGTTGGAATGGTCATGGTCAGGTGATCTTACATTGTATCTGCGAGGTGGTGAACAGCGGCAGCTTGGATATGATCTGCCTCACGGTGGGACATCGCGCGAGCCCGGCCAGCGCTCGACAAGCTAAGCCTCGGAGACGGTCCGCGTCGGTTATGGGCACTTTCACCTGGTCCACACCTGGCTTACACCTGGTTTACACCTGGATCACACCTGGTTTCAATCTGGCCCACATATGGACCAGTATGGACCACACCTGGCTTACACCTAGACCACATCTGTCTTACACCTGGGTTGCACCTGGGTCACACCTGGGTCGCACCTGGGTCGCACCTGGGTCACACCTGGGTCGCACCTGGCTTACACCTGGGTCGCACCTGGCATACCTTGTATCTGCGAGGTGGTGAACAGCGGCAGCTTCGATATGATTTGTCTCACGGTGGGACGGCGCGCCAGCTATACCTAGTAGTTTCAGGACTATCTGTCACTGTCGCTCATGTTAGCATCGTGGCTTGAGTAAGTGGGATGGCAACATCTTACCTTGTATCTGCGAGGTGGTGAACAGCGGCAGCTTCGATATGATCTGCCTCACGGTGGGACAGCGCGCGAGCCCGGCCAGCGCTCGACAAGCTAAGCCTCGGAGACGGTCCGCGTCGGTTACTTGGCTCACACCTGGCTTACACCTGCCTCACACCTGGCCTACCTTGTATCTGCGAGGTGGTGAACAGCGGCAGCTTGGATATGATCTGCCTCACGGTGGGACATCGCGCGAGCCCGGCCAGCGCTCGACAAGCTAAGCCTCGGAGACGGTCCGCGTCGGTTATGGGTGCTTTCACCATCATCAGCGATAGCAGGACCTGGTGATGACATACGTAAATTAATGATAACTAGCGTGACATTTCCCTTCCAAATTACTTACGTTAAACTTTGGACCTCCGTTAAATCCCATTAAAGCCATTCCACACAGTGCGGTGCGTCCCTGAAGCGATACGGCACGGCACCGTCACCGACACAGCACGACGTCGTCTTGGTTTATATTGTTAAAAGTAATGGATTCACCTAATATTTTGTTTCTAATTTTTTATAATCTTCGTCGTCTTAATAATAACAAAAGCTGAGAGATAAACCTTTTTGGCAAAACATTTATGTCATTGAATTTTATGACTTTAGTAATAGGTAGTTCATTTCAATCAAAAGACGTTCACTAAAGGACAAAGACTACCTCTCCCAAAAATTTCCAAAGACTTCAGGTTCTTCAACTATCATTAGATCGCTGGTCTATCAAGTGGGATGATCTATGAGCTTTATAACAAGACTCAAGGTCACCCAAAAACAAACATTACAATAAGAGTAGGCGCACACCGTTGATTTTTAGTTGGCCGATAGTTGTGCCCGATTTTAATTTGTATGAAGAATCGGCCAAATCGAATCGGCGTAGTGTGCGCACTCCCATACATGCCCATACTGATCAACTGCCCGACTAAACTATCGGCCGACGAAAAATCAATGGTGTGCGCATACTCTTAGTGTAGGCGCACACTGGGCGACACACGACAGCGACAGCTCGGCGACTTAACGCCTAGTCTTGTCAATTTCATACATTAGTAATAAGAATAACCGACTCACCATAATCCCGTTGTTAGTTCTGACGCTCTCCCACACCTTCTGTATGACGTCCTCGTACGATCGTAGCGCTGTCTTCTTCTTGCTAGGGCCGGTGAGCGAGAAACGTGTTGTTGACGTGCCTGCCTGAGGAATGGTAAGTTACAATGTACTGCAGGTTGACTGACGTAAGAAAGAAAGAATGTTTATTTGATGCGAGTAAGAAGTGTAAACTTACAAAATGATCGAATATTTGTGATCTATGGATTACCGTAGACCGCTGTACAGTACAGTGTCAGGTTAGCGTGGCACGCGTAATAGACTATTTGATACAATTTCTCAATAATTCGAAATCACTACTTTTCTAAAGCGAAGTTAGCAGGCTATTTCCACCAAAGCGGAGCGGAGAAGAGCGGAGCGGTGCGGAGACGAGAGATGTGTGAGCTATGCGTAGCTGTCAGCTGTCAGTCTATTGCTATCTATGAAACACCGCACCGCTCCGCTCTTCTCTATAGAAACATTCTATAGAAAAACAAGTGCGCCCGACACTTCTCCGCTTTTCTCCGCTCAATCCAATTCCACCGAGGCCTTGGTGGAAACCGGGCCTAAGTTTTTTGTTTTCTCACTTTTTTTGTTACGTTTTAACTAATACATAATGTGAGTGTTTGCAAATAAACTATTTATTTAAGTATGTTTATATCCGTTTTCTAGTACCCATAGTACAAGCTTTGCTTAGTTTGGGACTAGAAGCGTAGTATTATAATATATTTATTTATTTATTTATCTGTCTATCAAAGTCTATGGCATCTCTACTTACTCTATGCACGGGCGCGCAGACGCAGTTGACTAGCACATTCAACGCTGCCTTTTGGACCTCGGGCTCCGCCACGATCTCACCGTCTGCCGCTCCTGTACAGAAATAACGAAAGACAATAAATAAACTAGCTTTTGCGCGCGGCTTTGCCCACGTTTATGGTATATTCCACTTTGATCACCTGGATAAAAACACCTAGGTGATCAAAGTGGGCTTCTTATCCATGGGTGACCAAAGAACACTAAAGATACCCCTATAGTTGAAAGAGCGCATTAACAGCTAAGAATTACCCATTTAAATTATTTGAATGTTTCAAACTTTTTTATCTCCGTTGATTTGGTGTTAAATGCGTTCAACTATCGGGGCAGAAAGTGACACTTTGTTCACCTGAACTGTGATCAAAGTGCAATAGACCGTTAATTTCGGTCTTTCACAGAAAGTTTTATTTATTCTCGTCTCGTTCCCTTTGCCATACAAAATGTATGGAAGAGTCGCATTTTGGAAACTCAACAAGTATAATATGGAATAAGTTGTGGTTAGGGATTGCAATCCGGTCCGGCGGATCCGGTAATCCGGCGGATCCGGTGTGTTTTTGGACCTACCGGATCCGGTGAGTCGGCGCCGGATCCGGTGGCGGATCCGGTAAAGCAAAAAATACGCGAACGTGAACTGGGAAAGTCGAGCGCGCGCGCATTTGCCAGATCGCTAGACGTGCCGCGACACTACATTGCATTTTCCTTTGCAAAAAATAAATGCTTCTTGTTTTATTGTTTCTTAGGAGTCAGAGGTCAGAGGATTATTTCTTAAAAAGAACTGAAGTTGAATTTATAAGTACAAATTTAAAAGACTGTTTTGTTGATTTAAGTCTGTGTAAATTATTAATAAGAGTTTAACAGTATTATTATTTAAGTACTTTCAGATACTTACAGCAATAAGTAAGACTGATTACTAACTTTATTATTTAGAATTTTCATAATTTTATTAGGACAAATAGTACGTACTTACCAAAAATTACAATTAATACCGAAAAATATAAATAAAAGTGACTTTATTTTCCATAAATACGTATTTTCTTTTTCTTTTTATGTACTACTAGCTTTCCGCCCGCGGCTTCGCCCGCGTGGAATTTTGTCTGTCACAGAAAAACTTTATCGCGCGCGTCCCTGTTTCAAAAACCGGGATAAAAACTATCCTATGTTCTTTCCCAGGACTCAAACTATCTCTATGCCAAATTTCATCAAAATCGGTTGCGAGGTTTAAGCGGGAAAGCGTAACAGACAGACAGACAGACAGACAGACAGAGTTACTTTCGCATTTATAATATTATATAGTTGGGATTATCAAAACTAAATATCACTAAATACTAGACCAAGTAACTTTGCAATCCGGCCGGATCCGGACGGATCCGGCCGGATTAGCGTCAATCCGGTGAAATCCGGCCGGATTGAAAATGATACCGGATTGCAATCCCTAGTTGTGGTGTCATCATCATCCAGTAGCCCACTATTTTTTTTCTTTTTCTTTTCGTGATGTGCTGTTATTGTTTATAAGTTGTGCTTACTGTGTTCAATAAAGTCTATTCTATTCTATTCAAAATCGAACTCACCCAACACGATGTTAACCCCCGTAGTGAGATCAGCGTCCCTCATGTCTATTTTCTCAGTCAATAAAAGTTGAACTCGCGGCGCCACGCAGCAAACAGAAACCACGTCTAACGCCGATCGGACTGTCTCTGATCTGAGGAGAAAACGACTTTATTAATAGGGAAATAAGGAATAAAATTGTCCGCATTCGCGCATCGACCGGACTATGTCGAATTTGCGGGCATACGACTGTATTACAAGCAAAATAGGGTTTAAAATCGACTGCACTCGCGGCCGTCTCGAATCTGAGGAGAAACGAGTTTATTACGAGCCGAATAAGGTCTAAAATCAACTGCACTTGTCATTCAATAATGAACCTTCGATCTAATAACCTAAGTTAAAATTACATGACACACTCGAACGTTGTAATTCGAAAATGGAAGCTCCAAGTATCTAATTTTATCATTCAAAATGATCCTTCAAGCCTCCCACTAGTCATTCAAAAATTTACCTTAAAGTCTCTTCCATTGTCATTCAAAAGTGAATCTTATGTCTTCTATATTAAAGTCAATTTTACCTGCCGTTGAAATTCCACTCATAAGCGAACCCGACGACCTGCAGCAGTAGCGAGATGCCACCCAATTCCACCAGCTCGTCCACCGGCGCCCATCGGGACCAGGCCACGCTTTGTAACAGCTCTATTTGCTCTTGGATCTCTTCCGGGGACGATTTTGAGGCCTTCAGTGTAACAAAACATTACAAGATCATTCGTTTTATCAGCACAATCATCATTACAGCTGAACATTATTTCCAAAATGATTGGAAGCATCTTGCTTCCAATGGCTACCTACAATCTTTATAAGGTCATCTGTTTAATATTGATTTGTTGATTTTTAAAGATCTTTAAAAACATAGTAGACATATTTAAAAATACAGATGTGCTGTAGGCGTGAATATTATAACAGCTCTGTTACGGTTAAATAGTACCAATAATAATCTGTTTATGGCTAAAAACTCATGGCGCGATTTTCACCCGCGCCCGCACCCTCTGTAGAATGCAGATACTTATGTAAAAACTAATGCACAACTCACGACGCGGTTTTCGCTCGCAGCGGGCGCGGTTGTAATCGGATTTAAAATCGCGCCGTGAGTTCTTAGCCTATTTATGTGTGATGTATTCATGCTATAGCTATACCTACGCATCTATATTGTATCGAGTGTCGACGCGCTGCGTTTCTTTTCTAAATAAATGAGTCAGTAACGGACCACCGTGTTATCAATTTGCTCCCGTAGTTAGTACCTATGTATATCGATATACATACACTACATTATGTATTTATGTCTCTGACCTTATAAGGAGGCGGCTCGGGCACATTGTCGCCTTGCTGCCTCGCCACCTGCGCCGCTCGTAGCCTCAAGTGAGCCTCTAGGTATCTGCGAACAAATGTACAACAATTATTATCACTTCTGTATGTAAAAGGCAACCGTTATAAGCATGTAGCCATATCATCTCGAGGCGGTCAGTATTCTTAGTATGAAACTCCATAATGCAAGCAACGCATAATGCAATGCTTATTCGCACGGTAACGTAAACGCCTCGCCTCGCGGTTGACAGCGCGCGAAAGGCGATAGTTACGGTGTTGATCCCTTTCAGAGTTGATAAGTCTGCTATGACCTATAACCACAGATCACAGAAACTAAAGAGAGATGTGACAAGGGGGCGGGCCCGGTATCGCAGCAATATGCCCAAAAACAGAACACATTGCTCGTGAAAGCAATGACAGCAGCGCCGTCATAACGTAAACAGTTTAAATTGCTTGCGTAGTACTAAAGATTATTCGAACGTTGAGTACTGATACAGCAGTGGATAATGAATTAATGAGCATATATTTCGATTACTTTGTGTGTGTGAATTTCTAATGCGACAGAGTTTCGAACTCAGCGCATTATAGTCTATCCAATATAGCTTGATTAGAATGACGGCTGTCAAACGAATGTGACTAGTGATGGGTATGTTTCGTACGGTTCACATAGATGTATCGATAAGTTTTCGAAAAAATGATATGAAAAAATGCACCCAATTTTTCTTCATATATCTTTATTCATAAAAATGACAATTATGATTTAAATTTAAAGACAGTAAAATTTAAAATTCATGTCAAGGGTGTACAACCTAAGTCGTAGTCATTATCATCAGTGTTCTTCAGTGGTTTTTTCCTCTCGCTAGGGCGGTGGGCATCTCTTCTAGAGCAACGGTGCTATGAATACCCAAAAAATTACCGGTGATTGATTTCCGATGTTTGATTATTTAAGAATAAAATGTTTTTTGGTTTTTAATAGTGAACATTTAGAAAAACGTATAACTTGACTTAAATATGTTAAAAAATTAGTTAGAAAAATTTTTTGTTGAATATGTTTAAAAAATAGTTTTAATTTAAGAGCGTTGTCACATTTTTCATGCAGAAATCGAGAATTTGGCAGATTTCGAAATGATTTTAGTCATATAATTTATTGTTATAGCTTCTTTTGACTTATATCATCGTAATTATCATACGTTTTTACGGAATGTCTATTGACAAAATCTCGTTCAAATTGNACTATAGTTGACATCTTTTATCTCTATGCCTATAACCGACAAAATCGATTGTCACTATAGATAGTATCGCAAAAAGGTCATAGTCAGTTGAAGCCTACCATTTTTTGAAACAATAGTTAAACTTGTAGGTTGAAAAAGTTTGACTATTTTGCGAATGGAACCGTCTTTTGATTCGTGATGTAATGCGAATGAGGTGTAAGTCAAACTCAACTCCTCCAGACGTCACACTTGTGGTGTCAGACACTCACCGGCGGGTGGCCACACAAACGTGGCGGACGATCTGTCGCGCGGCGCACGTCTCGTCGTCAGATACCCTCATCTCCTCGTCATCCGACCCGAGGATCGGCAGCGTGGATATCACGTTGTACAGCTTTCGGAGACCGTCCTTGAATAAGGATGTCAATACATTAGGCACGATGAAAGATCCTGGGATAGCCACCACCAATCAATTGACGTACTTTTTAAATATGACAAAACTAGCTTTCCGCCCGCGGCATCGCCCGCGTGGAATTTTGTCCGTCACAGAAAAACTTTATCGCACGCGTCCCTGTTTCAAAAACCGGGATAAAAACTATCCTATGTCCTTTCCCGGAACTCAAACTATGTCCCTGCCAAATTTCATAAAAATCGGTTCAGTGGTTTAGGCGTGAATGAGAGACAGACAAACAGACAGAGTTACTTTCGCATTTATAATATTAGTATAGATGAGACTCTTCCATATATTTTTTCTGGCAATACAAGCAAGTGAGGTCACTATTTTGTCAACTCGATTAAACTACTACTAATTCTATTTTCTAAAAAGCGAAAGGTGACTGACTGACTCACTCATCACGAAATCTCAGAAACTACAAGTGCTAGGAGTCTCAAATTTTGCATGGGGGTTCCTTTTAGAACGTAGGTGCTCACTAAGACGGGATTTTGCAAAATTAAACCCCTAAAGGGGTAAAACGCTGTCCAATAAAACTATCTGTTGTGGAAGCGATCTTATCTATTGTTATTTTCAATATTTTTATTTTCCTTGTACACAATTTTATGGTTTCCTCTATGGCACCCTTTACCTGGTAGTCGAACTCCTCGAGGATGACGCGGAACTGGAAGGACAGCCCAAAGAACATGGTCGCGTGGCAGCGGCCCGAGTCGTGCGAGCATTCTAGCAGCCACAGCGCGTATCTGATGACAACAGACAACGTCAAAATGACAGTCCACGTCAGCTACAGACAAAACATCAAAGTGACAGTCTATGTCAGGTATAAAGGACGTTACGCCAAAGTTAAAGTAAGAGAGACAATTACGGCAAATAGTGCTGAAGTGACAGCTCATGACAGATACAAATTACTGCCACTATAGATGACCCACGCTGAACTGTCCGACCAAACTCAATGACAGGGGGCGCTACCATCGTTCAACTGTATGGTTTCCAACATGGCAAAAATCGGAACCAGCGATCCGGTATTGACGGTGGCGCCCCACTGTCAATGTCATGGATAGGACAGTTCAGTATTTTGGAACTATATTAGACAGCCACAGCCAGATGACAACAGATAACACGTCAAAGTGACAGTCTACGTCAGGTGCAGACAACACTTTAAAGTGACAGTCCACGTCAGGTACAGACAAAACATCAAAGTGAGAGTCTACGTCAGGTGCAGACAACACGTCAAAGTGACAGTCTACGTCAGGCACAAACAACGCAAAAACAGATTTTTTTTTAATTTTGTGTAATTTTTTTTGGCGTCATATGTATAATGTCAGGTATAATAGAAGGAGAGTTACTAACTTGACTAGATCAGCAAGGGTAGAGCGGGGCAGAAGGCACACTCGCTCCATCGCGTCCTCGCAGTACGATATGTCTTTACTTCTCATTGACTATGGTGCGATATGACCGTAGTGTTCTAATTTGAACCGTATGTCCTACGCCGCAAGGCTCAAACTCACTTGACTAGATCAGCAAGGGTAGAGCGGGGCAGAAGGCACACTCGCTCCATCGCGTCCTCGCAGTACGATATGTCTTTACTTCTCATTGACTATGGTGCGATATGACCGTAGTGTTCTAATTTGAACCGTATGTCCTACGCCGCAAGGCTCAAACTCACTTGACTAGATCAGCAAGGGTAGAGCGGGGCAGAAGGCACACTCGCTCCATCGCGTCCTCGCAGTACGATATGTCTTTACTTCTCATTGACTATGGTGCGATATGACCGTAGTGTTCTAATTTGAACCGTATGTCCTACGCCGCAAGGCTCAAACTCACTTGACTAGATCAGCAAGGGTAGAGCGGGGCAGAAGGCACACTCGCTCCATCGCGTCCTCGCAGTACGATATGTCTTTACTTCTCATTGACTATGGTGCGATATGACCGTAGTGTTCTAATTTGAACCGTATGTCCTACGCCGCAAGGCTCAAACTCACTTGACTAGATCAGCAAGGGTAGAGCGGGGCAGAAGGCACACTCGCTCCATCGCGTCCTCGCAGTACGATATGTCTTTACTTCTCATTGACTATGGTGCGATATGACCGTAGTGTTCTAATTTGAACCGTATGTCCTACGCCGCAAGGCTCAAACTCACTTGACTAGATCAGCAAGGGTAGAGCGGGGCAGAAGGCACACTCGCTCCATCGCGTCCTCGCAGTACGATATGTCTTTACTTCTCATTGACTATGGTGCGATATGACCGTAGTGTTCTAATTTGAACCGTATGTCCTACGCCGCAAGGCTCAAACTCACTTGACTAGATCAGCAAGGGTAGAGCGGGGCAGAAGGCACACTCGCTCCATCGCGTCCTCGCAGTACGGCCAATCCTGAGGTCCCGGGTTCGATTCCCGGCCGGGACAATATAGAAAACGATCTTTTCACATTGTCTCTGGTTTGGGTGTGTTGTGGTTCGTCGTTCCCGATTTCCATAACACAAATGCCTTAGCTACTTATTTTGGGTTGGAGTAATATATGATATGTTGTCTAATATTAATTTAAGTATTTATAGGTAATATTTTATTTATTTATATTATTTTATTTATTTATATTATTTTATTTATATTTTTTATTTATTTATATTATTTTATTTACTTTTATTGGTTACTCTGCAATGCCAAACAACATAACATGTAAAAATATCAAATCATTTTAGACAAATATATTTTCAACTTAGACTCGTCATATCTCAGAATTCCCATATCTCACAACATAGCGCTTTAAGTGAATATACCTACAAGTATAAAGCTTTGAAATAAAATACGTTTCATTTTTGTCCGCCCTGGGGCATTTTCTCATATTAAAGTTCCCAATGTCCTTTGATATCATCATTTTAATTTTTTTAATTTTCATACAAAATAAATTTTATAAAATCCGATTTGCATGAATCAATTTTCTGACTTCACCATACCATTTATATGCCCATGTTAACATGGGCTAGTGTCGGCTCATATACCCATTTACCTAACACCCTGTTATGGGCTTAGTCATCAAAATGACAACCGGGATGCAAAATGTCCACTTCTCGAAATTACAACTTCTTAAAATGTCAACTTCGCTAAAAGACAACTTCTCATAATTATCCTGCTTTCGCCTCCGAGATTTATTTTACCGTGTAGTACCCCCGTACGACAACCCAATCCGCACACAATATT